GAGGTCCCCGTGGGGAGGGGCTGAGGGGAGCCAGCCAGGGAGGAGACAGCGGGTTCCCTGGGGACAGACAGGTGCCAGGCCCCCTCTGGGGCACCCCCTGTGCACTTCCTCATTTAGTCCTTTGCTGACCCCACAGGCGGCCTGGGCCGCTGCCGCTCCCACTGTAGAGACGGGAAGACTGAGGCTGAACCGGCAGGTTAAAGCAGTCACAGGGGAACGTGGCGGCCAGAGAAGCCCCCGGCCCAGCACCGACTGACCAAGGGCCCTCGCGGGTGCCCCTCAGGGCCTCAGTGCCCCTCTAGCCGTGAGGAGGGGGCTGCCCTCTGACCTGCAGCTGATCCCAGGGGTCCTTGGCCCGATTCAAGGCCCCTCCCCCTCCAGCTGTCAAGGGCCCGGCCCCCCAGGCTCAGGTCCCTGCGCCGCCTCCTCCCCTGCACCCTGCTGAGGCCCCCCTGCACCCACCCAGATCCTGCCACGGAGCCAGGACGGTGGCGATGGCCCTTCTAATTGCAGCCGCGCTCCCAAAGCCACGCTCGGTTATCACACAGGGTGCAGACCTCCAGCTCAGTCCCCGCATCCCAGGCCCCGGGGCCAGCTCAGGAACGGAGGGAATTAATTACATTTTCCCATCCCCTTCTTTTAAAGTGGGGGAGCGCGCCCGCGCGTCCCGGGGGAGGGGGGTGAGCAGAGGCTGGGGAAGGGGGGTCCCCACCCCCGAAACCAGCCAGCCTCTCCCCAGCGGGCGGAAGGGAGGGTGAGGCTGGCCCCTTATTGATTTAGTCTGGGGGGCGGGCAGGGGTGGGGGGGAAGGGAGAGGAAGGGACGGCTGTCAGTCAGCCTGACGGACAGCCCCGAGATCTGCCTTCAGATAAAACCTTACAGATGTGGAGGTCGGTATTGATTTTGAGTTAGTAACGGTAACGTACCAAGAAGTAATACATTAGCAAGAGCAAGGTCACCGGGAAGGAGGCAAACCCACCCGGGCAGAGGCGCGGCATTCTTGAGGGGGTGGATTACCGCGTCAGGCCAGGACTTCCTCAAGTTCAAAAGTTTGCAGGCCCCAGACCTCAGCCGGGCCCCTCACCGTGGGCAAAACGCTTCCCGCTCCTGTGGGCAAAGAGGGACTCCCAGAGGTCCCTGGGCGAGCCCGAAGCTGGCAGAGGGCCACCTGGGCTGGCGGGGCTCTGAGCAGCTCAGCTCGGCCCCCCCCCCAACCCGTGGGGAAAGAGCAGAGCTGGGCATCCAGGAGATGCACGCAAGTCCCCGCTCTGCAATTCCCGCTGCGTGACCTCAGGGGGTCTGTTTACATCCCCTTGCCTCAGTTTCCCCGTCTGCAGAATGGGGGCAGTAATAGCCCATTTGCTTGGGGAGCCCTGGAAGTGACCAGGCTACGGCTGGGGCCTGGCCTTCTCGGCAGCACCCCCTCCCTCCTCTCTACTCGGGTCCTGTCCCATTTGTTTGGAAGCAGCTCTGCCTGGAAACAGGGGGTTGGATGAAATGGAAGCCCTTTGATCCGCAGGCCTCCGGGGACTCTGGGAGAGACTCAGCCGATAGCTCGCATCCCCCATTCACACCTACCCCAGATGTGGATTTGATTTGATGTTCCAGGGCAAATCCCATTGAGCAAATCCCATTACAGGAAAAGCTCCCTGGGCCCAAGCTGTTTCTGAGCCGCCTGTTAACGGCCAGGGTCCAAGGCCTTCTGAGCCACTGGGCACCACACAAGCCCCTCCTGACAAAGGGCTGCGGGACGCCTGGCAGCTGCCAGGATTTTTCTTCTCAACGTTGACCTTCTTGCTATTTCTTATACCTGCTGGGTGTGTTCCCACCCCAGGGCCTTTGCACTTGCAGATGCCCCTGCCTGGAAAGCTCGCCTGCACATCTTCCATGGCTAGTCCTTTTCGGTCTTGCTGGATATTCCCTCATGGGTGTGTGTGCCGGGGGGCGTCTTCCTGGCTCCCCACAACCACCACATGCCCTTATTTGTCCTCCACAGCATTTAGCAGGATCAGAAATTAGGTTATTTATGCACACACTTGGTGGTTTTCAGTTTCCCTGGGTCGGGTGTGGAATCAGCATCGTCCATTGCTCTGTCCCCAGTGCCTGGCTCAGGGTCTGGCACATAGTAGGTGCTCACTGAATACACATGGATTCAACAGAGCTTTATCCAGATCACGGTGTGGGCTGTGGGCGGCAGAGATGGTCAAACACGTTCCGTCCTGTCCTCAGAGAGCCCCGCCGCCTTACCTAGACCTCGGCACACAGTGGCACCCTGAGAAATGTTTGTTGAGTGAATAGACGGAGGAGGGAGGGGAGCGACACTTGGCGTTGCTGGGCTGTGCGTTACGAGGTTGGAAAGCGGGAGGCGCTGGGGCAGGCTGGCGCAGGTCCCATCACAAGAAGCCTTTACGGGGAGGTTCTGGGAGCCACCGGTCACTCTCGAGGGGTGCGGTCCCTTTGGTGGCCGTTCTGTGCAGATCTCTGTCTTGCAGATTGAGCACCGGGTCCAGGCACAGCTGCAGCGGGTTCCAAAGCAGCCTGGTGTCCCCCGTCCCCATTCCTCCTCCCCCAGGGGGAGGGAGCAGGCTCCATGTGTGTGGGGGGTGGGGGATGGAGGGGGAGGAACCATCCATTCCTTCTTTTCTCCTTCCTTCCTGCCTTTTTCTTTCTTTTTTTCTTTTTAGTTTTTCTGTGGTGCCAGGATTGAACCCAGAGCCTTGTGCTTACTAAGCAGACGCTGTGCCACTGAGCTGCGTCTCCAACCCAAAACCAGGCTATGCTCTCTCTCTCTCTCTCTAAGTAGATATATCTATTATTATTTCCCCTGGGGCTGGGGGTGGAAGCCAGGGCCTTGTGCGGGCAGAGCACCGGCTCCACTGCAGAGCTCCGCCTGCAGCCCTGGGTGGACGGTGAGGCCGCTCCAGGACCCTCCCCAGCTCCCTCTGGAGAACCCAGAGACACACAGTGGTTCCCGGACGCCTCGGTGGGATCCCCACAGCTACAGGAGATGAGGCCAGCCAGGCCACAGCCCAGCAGTGCCCCGGCCCTGGCCCTGGCCCTGAGAGTGGGGACAAGGGACTGGGCAGAGGTGGAGGCTGCCAGGAACACAGAGGAGGAACCTGGGACTCTCTGCTCTGGGAGCCTCGGCCTGGAGGGTCCATCCTGACGCCTGGCCACAAGCTGGGGCAGGGGAGCCTGGGCGGGGGAGCCTGGGCCTGGACAGCAGGCCTGCAGACCTGCTCTAGATCTGGGGCAGCCCCGGCCTCTGCAGACCTCAGTCTTTTCTTCTGAGAAATGGGCACCTTGGCTCCACCCCACTCTTGTCCATGGGGTTCTGGATTGGGCAGGTAGCGCGGTCAGTGGTCAGGAGGAGGGGAGGCAGGAAGGACGGCCACCAAGGAGGCAAAGCCTGTTCCATGCCGAGATCACTCCGTCCTTAGCTACCCTGGTGTCAGGGACATCGTCACCCTTTCCCTGAGGATCACAGACGGTCACAGCAGTTGAGGGACACCCCGAGGTTCCCACAGGAGGGATCCAGGCCTCTGCGGCCTGAGCCAATCCCGTGGCCATGCGCGTCTGGGGCAGGTGGGCTCCTCAGGAGGTGCCCGCAGCCTGCTGCCCCCTGAGGAGGGTCTCCGGGAAGGCAGAGGACAGCCTGTGCTCTGAGCGGGGCTGGTGATAGCGGAACTGTCCCCACCTGGCGCCCTCCCTCCCCAAATGGGTGGCCGTGCAGGAGGTCACTGGCGTCCTGGGCTCTGCAGACAGGGCCCGTCTGTCCTCCCCTGGTAGGGTGGGGACGCTGCCCTCCCCTTCCCCAGGGTCTGCCCTGGCGCTGCCTGGTTCTGCTGTCCCCTGGGGCCACTCCTCAGCAGGTGACTCTGCTTAGCTTCCCTGGACCCCTGAGCTGGCGGGACGCGCTCCGTGGGCTCCTCGGCCCTGAGTTGTCTCAGTCCAGTCCCTCAGTGCCCCATGGCCCTGATGGCCCCTGTGTGTCACATCCCCAAGCCTGGACCCTTCCCTCCATTCCCCACCTGGGGCAGGCACCAGGACTCTGTCCTCTGAAGTCCCAGGGCTCTGAGGGCCGGGCCAGCTGTTAGTGGTGCCTGTTTGTTGAATGAATAAGTGACCTTCATCCCGACATCCCAACCCCAGCTCCTTGAAGCTCCGTGTCTACAGACAAGCCCCACAGGTCAGTCCCAGGGCCAGCACTGAGGGGACATCCCAGTGGCTGTCCCCGGGCCAAGTAGGGAGGTGGTGATGGTCACAGACATCAGGGAGCTGCCAGAGTCAAAACAGGGCCCCCAGGAAGCTGCCTTAAGCACTGGCTGCTGGGCCACACACACCTGCTGAGGAGGAAGAGGGCGGAGGTTCAAGGGCACGTTCAAGGGCAGCCTGGGTGGCTCAGCAGGACCCTGTCTCTAAATAAGGTAAAAAGAGCTGGGGATGTGGCTCAGTGCTAGAGCCGAGCTTCAGTCCCCAGTCACCCTGCTCCCCCCACCCCCCAATAAGATACAATAAAAGCACCGGCCACATGCTGAGGAGGGGCAGGGCAGGGGGCAGGAAGGCCGGGAGTCCAGAGCCCAGCCAGCCTCTGCAGAGAGTGGGTGAAGCTCGGCCAGTGTCCTGCTGCCCTGCAGGGATGGAGGCCGGGCCTTCCTGGTCTGGGGGAGGTGCCTGACAAGGGGGAGACCCTGCACCCCATGAGTTCACTCATTCACACACACATTCCTGGCCCCTGGACAGCCAGGCCCGGGGTGAGCCCTGAGCCAGACCATGGGGACAGAGAGGTGCCCAGGGCCTGCCCTGCCCTAGACTCTCAGGGGAAGGGGGCCCCTGGGCTGGGCCATGGGCAGGAGAGCAGCGGAGACGGCAGCCCTGTCGCTCCCAAGGGGACACAGACCAGGTAAAGGGGGAGCAGGAGGCTGCAGGGACCTCGAGGGGTCTGCTCCCGCCAGGCCGCCCTGCGCCCTCCGTCCTGGTGGGCGGTCCCCGGCACTGAGTCTCTCGGCAGGTGATGAGCATCCTGAGCAGCCCCAGCGCGGTGGCCCCACAGCCGCAGGCCGACTTCTCCATCTCCCCGCTGCACGGCGGCCTGGACTCAGCCTCCTCCATCTCGGGCAGCTGCAGCCAGAGGGCCGACGCCATCAAGCCTGGAGACAGCCTGCCCACCTCCCAGTCCTACTGCCCGCCCACCTACAGCACCACCGGCTACGGCGTGGACCCCGTGGCCGGCTACCAGTACGGCCAGTACGGCCAGAGTGAGTGTCCCCGGGCCCTGGGGCGGGGGGCACCTCCCAGATGGGCAGACCAGGTTCAGAAGGGACGAGAGTCGGTCTCCACGAAGGAGCCGAGCCTCAAGTCCAGTTGTCTCCTGCCCGGGCCCCGGTGCCACTCCTCCAGGACACAGCCCCGAACGCTCCGTGGCGTTAGCAGAGAAGCGAGAGCGGAATGACCTTCACTGGCGTGTTTTATTGAACCTGATCTCTCTGAAAGATGATCACGTCAACATGCAATGCACATAAAATTATCATTTTTGAAAGATTTTCAAGTTGTAGACAGGCACAAGAGCTGTATTTTAGTTATTTATTTATTCATTTTTCTGTGGTGCTGAGGATGGGACCCAGGGCCCCACGTGCACCAGGCAAGCACCCCCCACGGAGCCCCAGCCCCAGCCCCATACGATTATTAATTTTGGGTTTTGCATTGTGTCTTCCATGCTGGGCTTTGATACCTGCTGCGTGTTTTACCTGATGGCACTGCGTTTTATTTTATTTCATTTCGTTTTGTTTTTCCATTTTAATTCAGACACTAAACTTGCATCAGAAGCACAGCCCAGGGCTGGGGACAGCTCAGGAGCAGGGTGCCGTCTGGCACCCGAAGCCCTGGGTTCACTCCCCACGACGGCAAAAGAACAGAAATGCTCTCTCCATATTGAAATTTCATCAAGTTTACAGTCGGGAGGTAGATTCACACACGCGGGTGGCTCAGAGAGACTCACAGGTTTCCCAGCCATGAAATGACGCAGTCCACGATGGGTTTTCAAATCTAGATGAGAACTAAACAAACCTCTGAAATTCGGCTCCCTGGCTGCGCTCGCCACCGTTCGAGTGCTCAGTAGCCAGCGTGTGGCTCATGGTGGCCAGCTTGGTGGCACAGTGTGAGGCCCTGCCCCGTGCTGTCCCCAGGCTGGGGCAGCTGTGTGTGAATCTCTGGCATCCAGCCCGACCCCTCAGCCTCGGTGTCCCCAGCTGCCTGCTGTCCCCTGCCCACCCCCGCTGCCATCCTCTCAGAACCCATCTGCAGACAGGGGACAGGAGACTCTCAGACCAAAGGCTGGGGAGGGCCGACCTGGCCCCCCCTTCTGGCTGCCCGGCGGGGCCCGAGGCAGGGCAGGCCCAGACGGGACAGGGGTCAGAGGTCACCGGGTCCCCTCCTGCCCTACCTCCCGGCCAGGGCCTCACCTGCTGGTGTCAAACTAATCAGCAGGCGAAGGGAGGGGGTGCAGCCCCCGACCCCGGGGCGCCCTCTCCACCCGCCCGGCCTGCGCCCCGCTTCCTGCCCACTCCTCTCCTGTGGCCCTGCCCGTGTGTGAGCCCGCTCCTGTGCACACATATATCTGGGCGAGTGTGGCGGTGGCACCGCGAGTGACCCAGTTCAGGCTTGTGTGTCCTGGTACGTTGGCGTCTGCGTAGAGCGGGTGAGTTGTGTGTCCGTGTGTAAGGCGCGGTGAGCACGTGGGGGAACGTGGGCGGGCGGCTCCACACACACCTGCTGAGGAAGGGCGTCGCGTGCGCACGGTGCACCTGTGGGTCTGTGTGCACGGACACGCGTGTGCACCCATGCACGGGCGCCTCGGTGGCAGTCACACACGCCCGTGTTTCCAATGTGCCTTCAGGTGTGTGCGTGGGGTCGAGCGAGTCCGTGTGTGCACGTGCGCTTGGTGTGCGTGGGGTCGTGTCACCGCGTGGTCCTGCGGAAGGAGCAGCGTGTGCAGGTGTGCATACGTGTGCGCCGCTGGTTCCTTCAGGTGTGAGCGTGTGTTCGAATCTGTGGGGGAGGGGGACGCGGGTGGCGTGTCTGTGTGTGACCGTGCGAATGTGTGTGCACGGGAGCACGTGTGTGTGCGAGGGAGTGCTCCCGGAGGGGCCCTGGCGACCGGCTGACCCAGCGCATGTCCCTGCACGGAGTGGGACACATGCTCTTGATCAAGAGCCGGCCCGGGGCAGGCGTTAGTCACACCCGGAGCCCGCGCCCTGCTCCAGGCGCCTGCCCAGCTCGGAAATAGAATTAACCCCGGAGTCAGCTAGGGGGAGCGGGGGCGGGGATCAAAAGGGAAGGGCCCGGGAGGCGAGAGGAGCCCTGTCCCTCTCTCCCCTCCTCTCCCCCTTCCTCCTCCTGCCCCTCCAACCCCAGCTCCCCGATGGGTCCTCCAGGGAGAGCTCGGAGCTCCTCCCGGGCCACCCTCCCCAGCCCCACCGCTGCTGCCCGCAGCCTCAGTCCTCCCACCTGTGAAAGGGGCTGGGACGAGGCTCCGCTGGCTTCCAGTTTCCCATGGGGCCTTCTCCCTGGCCCTTGGCTTCCTGGGCAGACCCCCAGGTCCACAGGCCACTGGACACCCTGCGGCTGGGCTCTCGTGGTGTGTGTGTCAAGAGTCACGCATTCTGAGCTTGCCACGTGGGCCTGGGGTCACCTGTTCACACCTGCCTGTGCGTGAGTCCAGTCCAGGGGACACCGGATGAAACCCATGTTCCTTGTTCATGTGCTTCTCAAAGCGATTTGTCTCCAACGTACAGATTTAAAAACTAGGCTCAGAGAGGCCAGGTAGCTTTCCCAAGGTCCCACAGCAGGAGAATGGAGGATGCAGGGTCTCCCGACTTCAGCCACCCAAAGCCACAAGCTGGTGTGAGACGCTCAGTTACCGACACCTACTAGGCCTTCCCGTGCTCGATTCGTATTCACAGCTTCACACACACCCACAGATGCACACCGAGATCCGAGTGCATCACCAGCGTGTGAGTCCGCTGATTCAAGGTAGAAACAGCAGGTTGTGTGGGAAGGAAGGGACTGACCGTTTATTGAGCATCTACTGTGGCCTGCCCTCCATCCCCACGGCCACCCTGGGCGGCACGTGGTGATTCCCTTTCACGGGAGAGGAAATGGCATCCCAGAGAGGTTCTCTGCCTGAGGTCACCAGGGGTAGCTATCGGCGTGTGCTCCGTCTCTGGAGGGCCACCGCAGGTGTGTGTGGACCCCACGTGGCCAAACCCCCGAGCAGCCGTGTCCTCTCGAAGCCTCCCACCTTCCTGGGACACGGTCACACCTTCCTCTCCTGTCGGGCCATTGTCCGTCCATCTATCTGTCCCTCCCTGTCCCTGGAGGGTGTGGGGCAGGGGCCGGAGATGGGGGCGGGCGGCAGATTAATCTGGCCCCGGTGTTCCCAGAGGCCAGGGCTGAGCTAATGATGCACTGATAGAGCTCAGGAGTGTGGAGAGGATTTTAATCGATCTGACAAGTCTAATAAGAACTTGTGTCTGGACGGGTCCTCCTCTGGGGCCGCGGCTGACGCAGCGCTGACGGCTGGTGTCTGTTTACGGGTTGGCATTGCGGCCACCCTCCTGCCAACGCCTGATTAATCTAATTTGAGACGTTTAGAGCCCAGGCGCGGGCGTGGGGCAGGGGAAGGGAGCCATGGAGAGACAGAGGGACAGGGAGGGCCCGGCAGAGGCCCAAACGAGGAATGTCACAGCCCTGCCCTCATCGGCCCCGCCTCCGCCCTGGAGAGGCAGGCACGTGGGGTGCCCTTGGAGTTGGCTGGGTCGCCAGTGTGGCTTCCTGATGGCCCCTTGGCCACCTTGACAGGGCAGGACCTGGGCAAGCTCCTACTGTGTGCTGGGCCACGGGCCGGTGGCTCAGAGAAGTGGAGGAGGAGGCAGAGTGGCTAGAGGTACACCAGGGACCGTTCAGGCTCCTCCATGTCCCATGCTGTGTGTGGCTCTGGGCCATCACGGTGCCTGGGTCCTCAGTCACCGAATGGGGCCGCCACTCCTAAGGCACAGGGGCTGCTGGGAGCAGCCGGGCCGCAGCTCAGCGCAGAGCACTTACCGCGAGCAGGAAGCCGGGGCTCCATCCTTGGCACCAAAAAAAGAAAGATTAAACGGGATCCTGTCCACCTGGCGCGTGTGGAGCACGGGGAGGCAGGGGCAGCGTCTGTGACGGGGGAGAGGCCACCTGACTTGGCCGTGTGACCTTGGACATGTCACTGGCTTTGCCTGGGGAAGGAGTGGACCCACGTGAGTCTCGGGTGGAGAGGGCCCCCCACACTCTTCCCCGGTCATTCTGCAGGGGACACTGTGGGGTTTGGGGAGGGGGCCTTGGGCTGCCCGGGTCTGGCCGGCTTCCCGACTTGGGACCTGTGTGACATTGCAAGTTGGTCCCAGGACGTCAGCTCCATGGTGTGGAAGGGGCTCTTCACCCAGCCGCCTCGAAGAGCTGGGGTGACAATTCAGTGACCCAAGAGCTCGCGGTGCTGTGAGCAGGTCCACGGGGCCGAGCTCTGGGCACTGCCAGCTCTTCCTCTTGCCCGACCTATCACCCCGCTGAGGCCGCCTCCTCCTGGGGGGGCACCCAGCTAGGGGAGCGGCGTGGCCAGAGCCAGGGGTCTCTGCAGGCCAGGCCCGGTGTACCACCCACCCCCAGAGCAGGGCAGGGGCAGGTCCAGGGCAGGCAGCAGGCCACAGCCCCCTCTGCTCCACGCCCCGGGAGGTGGGCTGCCCCTGGGGCTCCTCGGACCCTGGAGGGGCCTGCCCTCCTACCTCCCACCTGGAGCCTGGCAGCTCAGGGCACAGGCCTGACACTCCCAGGGACACGGGGGTCTTGGTACATCCTTCAGAAACCCAGGGGCCTTGGCCCAGGCCTTCGGTGCCCAGCATCCAGAAGAGCGTCATGTCATGTGACCCTCCTCACAGCAGCCTGGAGCTGGCTGGAGTCTGCTCTCCCCATTTAGAGACGGGGACACAGGCCCAGAGAGGAAGAGGGATTTGCACCAGGTCATCCCAGCAGCTCGGGAGGCTGAGGCAGGAGGATCACATGTTCAAAGCCAGCCTCAGCTACAGTGAAGCCTTAAGCAACTCAGGGAGACCCTGTCTCCAAATAAAATGCAAAACAGGGTTGGGGGTGGGGCCCAGTGGCCGAGTGCCCCTGAGTCAGTCCTGGTACCAAAGAACAGTGATTTGCCCAAAGCCACATGAGCAGGAGGTGGCCGCCTCTTTGCCACCACTTTCCTTTCTGACCCTTTCAAACGTCACATTTGCTCACCAAGTCCCAGTCTCAGGTCCTACCACACTGAGCCAGTGGTGGCCGAGCTCACGGCCTGATGGGGGAGGCCCAGCTGACCACACCTGTGTGTGTCCTTCAGCCTTCGGTGGCCTCTGCAGCCTCCGTGGGGTGATAAATAGCCCCATTTTACAGGCAAGGACACCGAGGCTCAGGTGGCAGGTTCTGGACTCGAACCTGGGTCCCTGGAACCACAAGGTGGTTCAGCCCCCAGCAGCTACTGTCCAGGAGGCCCCTGCCCTCCCACTCAGCCCGTATCTGCCACCTGCCCCCCACCTGCTCTAGGCAGCAGGCTCCCACAGTGGGAAACGTAGTAGTGACCCCTGGGGGCAGGGGCTGGAGTGGGTGTTGGGCCAGGCTTGGACGCTAGTCCCCTAGTGAGGTGCCCCGAGGTCCCAGGGGATTGCAGGGCAGCATCTCTGGGTCCCAGGAGGCCTCCGCCACCTGCCTGGCAGCTCTCAGGTCAGGCCTGATTTCTGCTCGGGCCTTACTGAGGGTAGCCAGAGCCCATGTAGGAGTAGGCCACTGATCACAGCTGCACCCAGACACAGGTAGACACGTGCACCTAGCTCAGGTGCAACTCGCGGCACACAGCACCTGCCCAAGCCCAGCCATTTCCTCTGTCATCTACTCCCAAAGGTGTGCCTGACTCACGAGTGTGGGCGTGAACACAAGCGTTGCTCTTGCACGAACACACACGCAGCCTCGCTCTTGCTTCAGGGAGATTCTTGTTTCTGTTCACAGGGTTCACACACACGAGTGCGCCCACTCACTCGCACACGCACACACGTCCTCAGAGGCTCGTCCATCTCCTCTGCATGACCAGAGGCTGCAGGCTCGGCTCCCTGCACCCCGGGGGCCCTGGCTCCTCCTCCTGCCGGAGCCCTCAGCTCACCCACAAAGCTGCCTCGGTGTTTGTGCGGGGTCCCGCCTGGCTTCGTCCATGAGCTGGGCTAGGGTCCAGAGCAGGCATTGCTACCTGGACTCAAGGGACTCCCTGGTCATCCCCCGCGGCTGGGGTGTGCAGAGGGCTGGTGGGAAGAGGCAATCATTCTTCCCTCGACACTGTGGATCCCCTCCGAATTCTGTCCCTACAGAACCCACGAGAAAGCTATAAACATTAAATGTCAGGTGACTGTGTGCCGAGTGTAGGGGAGGAGGTGAGAGAAGAGGTGGATGGAGGGAGGCAGGGGGAGGAGGTGAGAGAAGAGGTGGATGGAGGGAGGCAGGGGGAGGAGGGCGAGAAGGCCAGGATGGACGGATAGATGGCCAAAGGGTGGATGGACGGATGGATGGATGGATGGATGGATGAGTGGATGGATGGATGGACAGATGGATGGATGGATGGACAGATGGATGAGTGGATGGATAGATGGACGGATGGATGAATGGGTGGATGGATGGATGGAGTAAATGGAAGATAGACCAAAAGAACCTCAATTTCCAGGAGTTTCTCTCTCTGTTTTTTTCCAGCTGCTGTTGATTACCTGGCCAAAAACGTGAGCCTGTCCACCCAGCGTCGCATGAAGCTCGGGGAGCACTCCGCGGTGCTGGGACTCCTGCCGGTGGAGACTGGCCAGGCCTACTAGGCTCCTGGGGCGACTTGCCCCAGCCCGAGGCCCAGCCCACCCCCTCCTGACCCCTGAGCCTCCGCCTCAGTCCCCCTCATCCCCCTGGGGCCACGGGAGACCAGGAAGGGAGCCCGTCCCCTGCTCATCAGCAGCCCTCCTGACAGTCACCTGTGGTTGGGGACCCTCAAAGGCCCCTTGGAGTCCCTCCCAGAAGGGTGGAGGCCAACCTGCAACGTCCCCTGCTCAGATCTGCGGTGGCCTCCAGAGCCCAGGGTGGAGACGGAGGCCCGTTCTGAACAGGGCACCTGGGCCCCAGAGCGGGACGGAGCCTGCGCTGCCATCCTGTGGGCTGAGTTCTGCAGCGGGGCGCCCTGGCCAGAGGGCAGGGGAAGCCCGGGGTGACCCCGTCAGCTCCCAGTGCTGGGGCCCCGCCCCCCGCCACAGCGGGTCTTTGGCTCAGCACCAGAACCACAGCCCTTTCCTCCCCAGGACACAGGGCTCCAGCAGAGGGGACCCCGGGGTCTTCCCAAGGGAGTCAGCGGGTGACGGTCTCGACTTCACCCAGGACGTTGGAGGACTTCAGGACCCTCCCCACACAGCCCTGCTAAGCCCTCGGGGAGACCGGGACAGGGCAGAGGCTCGACCAGGGCCGGGGCTGTGGGGTCACACCTGCAGGCCACACTGCTGGCCCAGAGCGCCAGGCCCCACCTCAGGCTCCAGGAGGCAGAGGCTCTTCAACCGAAGCCCAGTTCCAGCCGCGTCCACCCCGGGGGGTCTGCAAAGCTGCTCAGCTCCCTCCTCAGCAGGGTCCGATGGGACAGAGAGGGGACAGTCACCAGCAAAGAGGTGCCAGGTGGGCCCGGAAGGGACTTTCCTGACCAAATCCTTTCCCTGGAGGGCGGCCAGCCATGGAGGCGAGACGCCCCAGCCCTTGGCCTCACGTCCACCTCCCTGGAGTCAGGATCCCCACGAAGGCTCCTCAGAGACGGGAGCCCACCCTGCACCCTGCTGCAGGAGAGGCCGCCATCTTCCCGCCGCGGGCCCCGGATGGGCCGAGATGCAGGGCTTCCGCCAGAGCTTCGGAGGAGGGTCTTGGACTGGGCAGGGGTGGCCTGCCCTCCAGATCAGCCTGCCAAGTCGCCTTGGCGTTTTGGTCCCACCCATCTTTCAGCGCTGACTCGCTCTGGGCCAAGGGGCCTCTGTCTCCTGATGGGGTCCAGCTGACCTGGGTGCATGTGGCCATTTCCAAACCCTGGGCCTGGGCAGAGGAAGACGCAGAAGGTTCTAGAAAAGAGGAGAAAAGACTCCTTCCTGCCTTCAGCACTCCAGCGGCTTCCTCCAGCTCTACTCTCCCAAGAGCCGGGGCCTCTGCTTCACGCCCTGCCCCTCCTCCCCGGGCGCGTCCACCTTCCCCCTCACCCTCTCATACACTCCGCTCAGCTCACCTGCACCAGTGCGGCCGGCTACAGGACACTAGTGATGGGGGACACGGCAAGGAATCCACAAACACTGGACCCTGTTGCTTGTCCCCACCTGGGCACACGAGGCCACCTGTTTGCTGCGTCCAGGCCTCTTGCCCTCAGCCAACGAGTCATTCCTAGAGGGAAGGGATGCTGCTCTGGGAGCCCACCTGAGGTCCTTCCTCCTGGAGAGCCACATGGACAAGAAGCTAGGACACTCGTCCGCATGGACGTCACCTGTGGGACCATGCTCACCTGTTTCTCTTCGTGAGAACTGATCACACCAAGCCAGTCCTGAGCCCTGACCAGGACGGCTTATACCCTGTGGTTTGGATGCGACCAATTGATAACCGAGGACAAACGGGCTCTTTGGTGGCGGTGGGCACCCGGACAGCAGTGGGCACCCGGACAGCAGTGGCCCGTCAGGTTCAGCCAACTGGAGCATCCACTCCAAGAGACTTTGGGTTCTTCAAGCTCTGGACAAAAGGGAAGATCTCGTTGTCCCTTGGAAGTGCAGTCCACGCTGCTGTAGCTGTCACAGCCAGAAGGCCGCTCAGAAGACCAACGCCATCTTCGTCCACATTCCTTAACGGCCAGTCCTTCCCTGGAGGCCCGGCTCAGGACACGTCCTGTGAGACTCAGGAGCAGGGCTCTCAGGCAGGTGACATCAAAACTGCCCAGCCCAGCACCAATAGTGACATTCCCATGCTAGGACCAATCCCAATGATCTGCCCCCACCGGGAAACAAAACCAAGACCTGCTTGGGAGTCAACCCAGCGGTTTGTCTTTACGGTATCCAACACCTCGGAGTTCTCCCAAGCCACCGTCTCGGGAGACAGTGGTACTCACTGGTTTTCCAGGGCACCCTTAACCCCCAGCAGATATTCCCTAACACCCCGTGCATCTGTGGTCTCGCCAACTCAGTCTATAAAACTGGACCTTGCGTTGGCGGCTTGCAGCTTCACCGGGAAAGTGATATTTGGTTGGACGAGAGGCTCGAAGCTTCAATCCCCGGGGGTTGACCACAGCCTAGAAAAAGGCCTTGAAGTCCAGTGGCCAGGCCCGCCCAGAAACAACCCCAGCCGTCCCTGTAAATAGAGCCCCTAGCAAGAGAAGAGATATCTCCTCCAACTGTCCCAAGTAGCTACTGGTCCTTCCTACGGGGGCTCGTCTCCTGAGCCCACTGGATATTAGTTGGAAACGTGGTGACGTGCTGTTTGTTTATAGGAAGTTGACTTTTTATATATGAATATATATGCTAAAAAAAAAAAAAAAGGAAAGAAAACCCCCGCAGTGTGTGTCGTGCTAGTGCCAGGGACCCTCTGTAGGGATATACCTGCCTATCGTGTGTTCCAGGTTATGCATTCCGGGCTCTGTTGAGTTCCTTCACTCTGTTGCTTTGTTTTTTTTCACTTGGTCCTTTCTCTCTTGCTATGAAAAAAAAAAACAAAAAACAAATAAGTGACGTGTAAGACCCGAGGTATGCTCTTCTACTCTTTATTTTTTACTTGATTCACTTTTGATGCTCTTTTGCCAGAGGAACTGAAAGAGCAGAGGAAGCCGAGAAACAGGGGAATAAGAGAGAGAAGAGTGCAGACCGAGGCGGAGGTCAGAGGTCCCACCTGACCGTGGCTGGAGAACAGGACAGGTCCTGGACTTGGAGCAGGCCACCGGCAACCCAGGGTGGTCTCAGATGGAGCTGGTGAAACCTGGTGGGATTCGGATCTTGGACCTCAACCCAGAACTCCGTGTTTGCCAGCTAAAATCTTTCTCTGGATCTTGTCTCGGGCTGGCGTTCTCCTCAAGCTCCTGAATGTGTCTTTCCATCTTGGAAGCTGTCGGGGTGCGCAGGTCTTCTCTCCTCCCCTCCCGCAGGAGCAGCAAGCCAAGACCAAATGGGCGCGCTCCAGCCGCCATCTTGGATGCTCCAAGACACCTGTGTGCTGACCTGGGAAACTGCCCCATCACACTCTAGATCATTCCTCCTTCCTTGTATCAGCAGCACCGTGGCTCCCGTGTCTGACTCTCGACAGTTTTCCTCCACATGGAAGAGTGTGTGCGTGGAGAGGGTGTGCGTGGGTGTGTGCGTGCGCGTGAGGGTCTGTGTTTAAATATAATCGCACCATAATTTATTCAGCTATATGGAATAGTAGACTAGGAAGAGAAACTGGTATTTGCTTTAACTACCTGCTGCTTGTAAGCGCTGCCTCTGTAACTCAGGCGTAACCGTTATACATTAAAAGAAATTAAAAGCATTTTAAAGGTCCCGTGTCCTCCACTGATTGATTGCCATTTGGGGCTGGGGGCCGAGGGGGGTCGGGGAAGCCTTTTGACCTAGGACAGAAGGTCAGGGTGGGAACTGGGACTCTCTCGCACCCCGCTGAGTCCCCCAGTGCTAAGCAGCTGCTACCAGTATGCAGTTGGTGCCTAATCGATATCTGATCAACAGATGGAGTTGCTGGAGCAGCTCTGAGCTCAGAGGAACAGTGCGATGTCAGAGAAGGAGCGGGAACGTGGGTTCCCTTCTCCAGAACAGACTTCCTGTCGCTAAGCTTAGAACCTCCTGAGTTCTCTCCGGGGATACAGGATGGAGAGGCAGGAGAGGGCTTGGGAGCCGGCATGTCACCTGACGTGGGGATTCCTGGGCTACTGGTGCCCTGGGGTGCGGGTGGCTGAGTAGAGACCGACCTGCGTGTCCAGCAGCTCTGATTGAAATTCTGCCAGAAAGGAGCCGCCGTGAGCATTCAGGGACATGTGAAGGGACCTGGGCAGGGGCCAGCAGTGTCCATGCCCCCCGTGTTCTCCTGGCCCTGAACTCGGGTCTGCACGCCTTTCCAGGGTTCTGGTTTCCCTGGACCGTCTTCTAAACAGGAGGCGGGCAGTAGGGCAGTTTGGGAGAGGAATCATATATGAAGAATTGACCAAGGTCAAGGGTTCCTGTTGACCTCAGTGGACACGGCCCAGGCCTGGTCCTCCAGGGCAGGACCCAGGGGGAGGCTGGGTTCTCCCAGGGTCTGAGACCAGGACCCTCCCCCATGCGGGGTCCCTTGCCACCCCTGCCAAGTCCCAGCAACTGATGCTCCCGACTTCCATCCATCCCACGTCTGTCCCTCCTCCTCCCCCTCCCCCGCCAGGCCACCATCACAGGAGAGTCCAAGAGCCAGTCAGACCCCACCCTCGCGCTGCGTTAGAGCCTTCGTGGGTCCGGGGACAGTTTTCATTTTTAGAAAGCAGGCTGGACACCCTCTGGGGACCCCCCGGTTACCGTCACAGTGGCCTGAGCTGAAGGCAGGCTTGGAGGAGGCCCAGCGGCCTGAGAGCTTGCCCGCCACCGTGCTCCAGAGCGCTCACTGACCCTCTTAGGGGACTTGCCTAGGAATGGGGGTCGGACGCGGGACAGACGCGTGCATCTGCCAGCTTTGCCACAGACACTGGAGCAGTGTCCTCCGGCTCCTCTGTCACGCCCTCCTTATGGTGGACGAGCTTCCCAGCTTTCCTCAGGTGACAAGAGCTGGTGAGGGGAAACAGGGTCCTGGGCTAGCAGAAGAATGGAGCCACCGAGTCGGAGGGACACACGGGACAGACACTCGGTACAGTCCCCCCTGTTGGGTAGTGGAGTCTAGACTCTGGTCCTCCCAGAACAGAGAATCATCTTCCTTCCTCTGGCCACATCTACAGCTGCCGCTGGGGGAGCGAGACTCACCCCCAGGGGCAGCAAGAAGCCTGCGCTCAGAGCACCTGTCACTTCTGTGCCTCCCCCAGAAAGATCAAAATGTACCTCCTCTGGCCGAATCCCACCTTTGGTCCCAGGTCCCCTGTGTAGGCAAGTCATATCCCTCAGCTGTCCCATCCTTCCCGTGGGAATAAAGACTGCTTACTGTATCATGACAGAATATGGTGACCACCAGCCCCACATCTTGGTGGTTCCAAAGGCTCGTTTTTTTCTTGTTCCTATTCGTGTCCTCTACTCATTCTTAATCTGGTTTCTGTTGCTGTAACAAAGTCCCTGAGACTGGGCTGTTTATAAAGAATAGAGGTTTATCTGGCTGGCAGTTCTGGAGGCTGGGAAGTCCGAGAGCACGCTGCAGACATCTGTGTGGCATCTTGTGAGGACCCCTGCTATGTCATAACAAGGCAGACAGCCACGTGGAGGGACAGAGACCCAGGTCAGGTCTCTGTCCTCATAAAGCCACTCATGCCATGGGGGGGGCACACACTCATGACCTCACCTAAGGGCCCCCAACTTTACACCTTTGATTTATTCATTTGGGGATTAAGTTTCCAACACATGAACTTTGGGAGACACCTTCACCCCATGGCACCCACCACGGGCTGTTGGAGTGTGGCATCGTGCCAAGGGCTGTGGCCGCTGGGGGCAAGACAGGGAGCAAGGTGCCCTGGCACCAGAGCCTCCGCCGGAACCTCCAAGGGAGCAGGGAGTGGGGTTGGGGCTCAGCATCAGCACGGTCCCCTCCGGCCCCTGCCACAGAGGGTTTTCATGAGGACAGAAGGAGGCCCAGGGGACAGAGGGGAGACAGAGGCTGCTGTCCTGGTGGCCCTGCGGCAGGGGACACAGCAACACACATAGGTGGGCAGCCTGTCCTGTGGCCCCACGATGGCCCAGCCAGAGCCTTTGTCACATGATCAGCATGACAACCTCCTCGGGAAGTGGGAGTTTAACCCTAAGGTGAGGAGGGAAATCAAGGTCCAAAAGTGAAAGTCACTGGTCCAAGTCACGTGACGGGTCAGTGGTGGGGAGAAGCGGGCCAGGTCACACGTCAGCACCAAGGTGCTGGAGGGTTGGAGCGGGGCCTTGCCTGAGGGTGGCGCCCACAGGAGCCTGGCAGGGCGGCCTCCTGCCATCTGGCTCACACTGAGAGTCCACCCAGGGTCAGAGACTCCTGCAGGCCACCGTCCTCCCCAGCAGTGACACTAGCCAGGCAGCACAGCGCGCGGCCCTGCCCAGAATTCTCTCCACCTGCTTCCCCTGGGCAGATGGGCAGAGGGCTGCGGTCCTGCCCCACATCCGGAGCTGTGGCCTCCGCCATCCGGACACGGCAGGCCTCGCGGGTCCAGATGAGGAAATGGACCCAGGGAGTGAGGTCATTGTCCCCGGGTCCCCAACTAGAAATGGGAGGAACCGAGGTTGAAATTCAGATTCACCTGGAACCAAAGCAAAGCTCCGTCCACTGTGGCGGCCTCCCTCCCAGCACGGAGCTGGAAAAGAAGGTCACCCGCCACCGGCCGTCACCACGGCAAAGCCTGGGGACAAGCCACGTGAGAACTCCTGGGCCCAGGACCGCTGGCTGTCCCTCCTGCGGGCTGTGGGCTGCTGGGGTCTGGCCACCCCGGGTCCTCGGCAGCTGCACACCTGGCAAGGGTGACTGTGACTGTGTCACGTGTCACCAGAGCCCACCACGGCAGCCTGGAGCTGATGGCTGAACACAGTGGGCTGCCACACCGGGAGAGGACCGCGTGGCCTGCAGGTGAGGACACCCTCTAGGAGCTGGGGGGACCCGTGTCCAAGAGCCAGCAAGGAAGGGGGCACTCAGTCCTCGAGGGCGAGGAGCCGATGCCACCCTCCAGCCAACCTGGGGGCCGGTTCCCCCCAGTCCAGCCTCCAGATGAGCCCCAGCCCTGACCACCCGGGCCTCAGCCTGGGGACTCCCCTGCAGGGGCCCCGGCCACGCCGTGCGGACTCCTGACCTGCAGAGACCGTGAGGGACGCGGGGGTGGCGCTGGAGCCATGGCAGGAGAAAGCTCGCACCGGGAGCCGAGCTCCGAGGGCAGCTGTGACGATGCGGGGTCCGGGGGCCGTGGCTGCAGAAGACCAGGGTTCAAAGGGCACCGCGGTCCCAGGTATTTCACCATCTACTTCAGGCCTCTCTGGTCAGATCACCGACGTCCCAAGGCCAAGGCAAGGCTCAGGGCCAAAGTCAGGAACCGGGAAGAGCATTCCGCCCTCCTTGAGGCCCGCACAGGGTCTGGATGCCCATCTGGACGGCAGAGGAGGGAAGAGTGAGGCCCGTTATCTGGGAAATTTAGAAAAAATCCTCCTGTCAGGCGGAACCTGTTCCACTCCCGGGACACGCTCAACGGTGAGCAGGGAGGGCTTCGAGCTCGCAGGACACTGGCCTCCGGAAGAGGGGCTTGGGCCCGAGGAGCAGCAGGGGTCTGCGGGTCCCCAGGAGCAGCGCTGGCCATGGACAGCAGAGGGGATACTCCCAGGAGGAAGGGCTCAGGGAAGGGCTGGGGTAGCAGATCTGCTATCCCTGGGACCTGGGGCCAGGCCTCACCTGTCCCTGAAGACGGCCCCCTCCTTTGTGAAGCCAGCACTTCAGCTGCCCAGTCCCTAAGGGCGAGCGTCCTCCGTGTCGATGGCTTTCTGTACACAATCTGCCGACAGACAGTTCAAGAGAGTGGTTCTCAGGTCACAGAGCCGCCTGGCAACCTCCTGTGGCAGGAGCTTCCCATCCTGAAGCCACCCCTGGGTAATCCGGTGTGAGCGCTGTAAACCTCAGTGGGGACTCACCTTCCCCTTCATCTCTGAACTGACTTAACGATGGCAGCAACCTCCAAGGGGGCGTGGGGATGACCTACCACCATGGGATTAAGAACCCCAACCAACTGCCTTTCGTCTCATTTCACAAACTCACTTGATGGCTGGACCTTTTCTGGTAGGAATACTCGCCAACATTACGGGGAAGATCCTGGAGCTTCCAGGAAGCCCAAGGAAAACAGGAAACCCGAGGAGTTACCAATCTCGATGTCCTTGAGAAAATAAGGAACTTGCTAAGAGAAGGTTCAGATATTATAAGCAATTTATACGTGGTGTCTTCCCAAAGAGGAAACTATTCAATAATATAAATGACAACTTCAGAATAAACTTGTGAAATATAGAAAGATGCATAGTAAAGAAATGTCTCTTATAAAGGTTTTCTGGGGGCAGGTGAGGAAGGGGGACAACAGGACATGCTCTAGACGCAGTTCCTTGATACCTTCACTTGACATAGGAACGTTTGGGACCATCTAGAGAAGGAAGTTAATACCATCAAGAAAATCACAATTCAAATGACTATTTAACAGGTGTGCTTTTCATAAATACACACTCTGAAAATGTTTAGAGTCCGATTATATAGGTAATTAGTAGGTTTCTGATAGGGAGCATTAACAGGAATTGACAATCTCTGTCTTGTAAGGTCTGTATCTAGGCCATTTATGTTTAATGTAATAAGTGATGTCATTAGATTTGGGCTTGTCATTTTA